AGAGGGACGGAAAATCAATTTAAGTCTCTAGACATTATAAAGGATAATGATGGTCTCCTAAGGGTTAAAACCAAAGTTTTCATGAGAATAGATGAAGAAGATTTTAGACTTCCACTACTTTTACCATCAAATCATCATGTGGTAGAAAGTCTAAAGCACCAAGAGTTAGGACATGCAGGAGTACCATTTTTAATGACTGCGTTAAGAGAAAATTATTGAATTTTAAAGAGTAGACGAACCATAAAGAAAGCCATAAAGATGAGTGTTGTATGCCAATGGTTCAATTCAAGACCAGCGAGTATTCCTGAGGGATCATTACCGGAAGACCAAGTGAGGGAAGCATCTGTATTTGAGATAATTGGTTTAAATGTGGCTGGTCCTTTGTATCTTAAAGACAAAAGGTGTGGATACTTCGAATAACATGTGTTATCTACTGAGCAGTTCATTTAGAGCTCTTGACTGCTATATCAACTGACAATTTCTTATTGCCTCTAAGAAGGTTCATTTCACGACGCCGAAGACCTTCGAAGGTCTACTCGGATAATGGGACTAACTTCGTCGGATTTGAAAAACAGCTGAGAAATATTGATCTTGAGAGACTGAAAGTTGAAATAGCTCCCATTACTTGGAAATTTATACCACCTTCAGCTCCATAGTGGAGTGATTTCTGGGAACGTTTAGTAGGTCTTATGAAGCAGATTTTGAGAAAAGTTCTGGGAAGAACTTCACTAAATTATGAAGAAATATCTACTGTTTTGTGTGAATGTGAGTGTCTCCTCAATTCAAGACCGCTTACCTATGTTTCTGATGATGTAAATGACTTGAATCCCATTACACCAGCAATGTTTTTGTAAGAAAACAAAAGTAATGATGTTGCTGATCTTGACCAATTTAGCCAAACAGATGGAAAAAGTTTAAATAAACGTTTGGCTTACCGATTAAGAATTTTAAAAGATATACGTTCGAGATTTCGAGTCGAATCACTAGGACAATTACGAGAAAATTACAAAAAGAAAGATGACGTCCGTGTTCCTAAAGAAGGTGATACTATAGTACTTGTATGGAGTGATAGCATCAAGAGAATTAACTGGCCGATGGCAAGAATTTTAGAAACTTATCCCAGTCAAGATTGACTTGTTCGTTTATCAAAACTAAAGACAAAATCTGGTGACTTTATTCACCCTGCCCAAAAACTATGTCCTATGGATCTGAATGGTAGTGATGTTATTGCAAATAATGCTACTCCAAATGATTGTGTCAATCCTAACCCTGAAGGAAAAAACTTAACTGTTCATTCAGTGACTGATGATAACTACAGGAAAACTGATTCTGTGACCACTCGAGCTGGTAGGGTTGTGAGACTGTCTCAACGTTTTGGACAACGATATGTGTTAAGTTTCAGTTAAACTCAAGAGGGGAGTGTCGAGAAACTGTGAGGAACTATTCTAACTATTCTAACTTAACCGTGACTGTGGCGTGACCGCAGTTTTTAATCAGAAGGGGAATGATCGCCTCAGAGTGAAGAGGTTTGAATGTTATGTTCATTTTTAAAAAGTTTGATGTTTCGTTTTAATTATGTTTGTTGTTACGTTTTTTCTTAAGTATTAAATGTTTTCAAAAAATTGTTAGTTCCTTTAATGGCAGACCATGTTATTTTTATCATTGACATCCTTTTATTTTTGCAAGAGTAGCGATCATTTAAAAGCGAAAGAAAAGCTGTCCGTCGTCTCCCCGAGAAATAGAAAGTTGAAGAAAAGTCAACAGAAATTACAGGTAAGATAATTTTACCTTTAATTAAGAAGTATTATTGAATTATTTGAGAACATTTAAAAATTTCTACAATCACCTTTATAGTCAACTGAACTCTAGATAAATATAGAGCTTATTTTTTCTCCATTTTTATTAATTTTAGTGGTATTTACCACACCGTTTTGCATCATATGCGGGGCAGAATGGAGTAATTTGCATAGTTTTCAGTTGTTTTTTAAATCCTTATATTATGATAATACTATATTCTTATTTACATGAAAGTATAATTTGTTTGTAAAAATATTTGCATCTTTTTTAATTGACAATTTAGTATTTTTGAAGCAAACTTTAAACTAGGTACGCTATTCTGTCCCGATTTCAAATTTGTTTCAATCAATCAATGTTTAATGCAAAAGTCTGATTCGTTACATAGTCAATCGCATAATATTAACTGCCTCGCTATCATTTCCTTTTCTTATTTTAATGATGTAATTATTTCTATTCTAATGACATAATTATTTTTATTTTAAAGACGTAATTATTTTTATTTTCATAATATAATAATTTTTTATTTGAATGATATATTTATTTTTATTTTCATCACACATTTACTATGTATTTATTTATTATTATTTTTTTGTTAAAATATAACTCAGGTATGTTCTCAGATTGTAAAAACATATAAACATCCTCCGCTGGAAAAAAAATCCTATTAACACACTTTGTTTTTGTTTTAGAAAAATGAAAATTTCAGAAAATGCCCATATGCATAGTTATATATTATTATATATTTTTCAGAAAATTACATTTAATCGATCGACGCAGGATGAAAATAAGATATTTGTGATAATTTTTACATGATACCTTAGAGCATGGCATGAAAACCATTTATTCGGTTAAATTTACTTTTCAGTTTTGTAATTTTTTATTAAATGTGTGGAAATAAGATCTACAATTTCAAAAACCAACATTTCCGGTAAATCGTACCCATGGGAACGAAAAAATAAACAAATGAATGATATAAATACTGTATAACTTGGTTTCATTAATCAAAATTTATGTTGTTTTTTTATTTACCAGAAATACCATTACCATAGAGTTCGGTAATTTTACCAGAATTTTTTCTCAGCGCACTATTAAATAATTTCAGAAAATATTATGCCGCGAGAAATTTTATGTGAAACCATTTTAATTTGAAAGAGAAGGTGTCACATTTTTTACAAATGTTAGCTACGATTCAACTCATTAAGAAAATAATGGAAATTTCATGTTTATAACACTAAGTTGGTGACTATGTCATGTTGATCTCTTAAATAATCAAGTAGACATTTCAATGATTTATTTTAAGAGGTTTACAACGAGTAATTTTAGTTGCTGTCCTACCTTAGTTATGTACTTGCATGCTAATCACTTGTCAGAGCTGAAGGTTTTTCAGTGATTTTTAGGTAGGTATCTGTACCCTATTTTATCACAGTCTGAGTCATTTTCCACTAAGTGTTCCTGTCTTTAATTTACTGAAAATTATTAACTTTGAAAGGGAAGACGTATAAATTTCTACACTGAGAAAAACATTGTGGTATAAGCCACCAGAATAGGGTAAAATTAACAGTGAAAGAAAGCTAAAAAGTTAGGCAGTTTTTACCGAAGCTCCTTGGTAATGATTTTGGTAAAATGAGCAATAAAATATAATTTTATAACCTGTGATAAATTTTGGTAAAATTTTGTAATTTTATTATACCTTAGAAATGGTTTGAATGGTTTTAGCATGGCATAAAACGAATGAATGGCTTTAGCATGGCATAAAAACCATTCATTCGATTAAATTTACTTTTCAACTTTGTATTTTTTTTAATTTTCACTACATGTATGGTAATAGGAACTGTAATTTTGAAAACCAGAATTACCGGCAAACAATTACCATATAAACGTAAAATGGCCAAATTAGTGGTTTAAATACCGTATAATTTGGGTTTTTTTTGGGCCAGGTTTTTTTTTTTTTCACCAGAAATGTAATTACTATTCAGTAAGGTAATTTCACCAGAATTTTTTCCTCCGTGTATGAACGTTAAGAAACAACATATTCAAATAAGCGAATAATTTATTCGTCCCCTTCCCCTGTTGTATGGGTATTCTGAAAAATTTCTGACTCGCCGCCGTGAAAGGTCACCCCCTCGAGGAGAGGCAAGTTTGCACCGACAGGTGACAGTCCAGCAGCCCGGCGAAGCATCAACATATTGAGATAAATGAAAATTTCCTGATCACTTTACGCAACTGGGGACTATTGTTATATTAAGCTCAAAACAAATCAAGTTGACATTTTAATAATGTCGTAATGTATTTTGCAGATCAATATTTTTCTGGAATCAGTTTTATCTGAAGCAGTTAGACATTTTAGGAGGGATTTCTATTTAATTACCTGAGAAAAAATAGACATGTTTTTGTAGTTACATTTTCTGTTCAAAATAAGCTACTGAAAACTATGATATATTTACACATTGAGTAGACTAATATCTTTTTCTTTTGTATCGTTTGTATCCCAAATATATTTAGGAACTTTGATATTCACTAAGCAAAAACAAATTACAGAATGAAAAATTTTCTGAATAAATTGTCCAACTTGTGATCATGTCGTATGAAGAAAGTAACTAATTAGTCAGACACTTTAATTACTTTTAAAGTATTTTTCAAAAGAAAATTATTGTTGTTAATCAGGCATTCAGGGCATTTTAACAAAAGTTTTAAAATTATAATAATTGATAGAAGACCAAGTAGAAATGATGGAAAATTATTTTTCAAAAAATGTTTTTTTGATTCTCCGCAAAATTTTCGGACAAAAATTCTTAAAATACTGTTTGATATAAAATACTTCAGTGAAAAGGGCCAGAAAAATTATTTAATTTGTCACAATTAATTTCCTGCCATGTTCGTATTTATTTTAAACAATTTATAGTTTTTGTAATTCAGCAAATTTTGTTATATTTTATTCCCATCTTTAAATTAGTTATTTAAATCAAATCAACTAACGTAAAATGAGTCAAGTAAAAACAATAAGCATATTGTACCTTAGATACATTTTATTTTTTATTTAGGCGACTTTTAATACACAAATAAATCAATCTAAAAAAAAAGAATAAAAACATTTATGTGAAACGTTTGCTTATGGGGATGTGATAGTATAAACAGAAAGGGAAATTATTACCTATTTTTATTTTAAGAAGATTATAGAATGTGGGAAATAAACAATTAAATAATAGGGTTATAACAATTTTAATGCGAACTAAATCACACAATGTTTGGAAAATAATCACATTTTTAAAAATTCCTTAAATAAAAAGAGCTTTTAACATTTTAATATGTAAGTAAAATAAAAAAATAATCTTTGCTTTATGTAATCCAGTAATTTTAAGTGAATTTTATTTTGCTAAATGTTTAGTTACACATCCCCTTCAATAAAAAGTAGACATAAATATAAACAAACATTGAAAATATTGTACATTATATGACAATATTTGAAAATATGAGGTAGTGCAATTTAAAAAAAAAGCATTTGCATTTTTATTTCTTACTTATTTTTGCCGTCAATTTGCTGCATGCCAAACCAGTATTACAAATTTGAATGAGATATATACCAAATAAAATAATATTTACTGAAATACTTTCTATTTTTCTCTAAAAAAATTACAGATTTCGGAATTATGAAGGACACTATGTTTTCAAGAAATTAGTTTAACTACAAACTTCTTTATAGCACTAACACTTTCTTGAAATGCAGCTGGTTTCATAATTGAGTTTTTTGCAATATTTTAAAAGCTAATTATTTAAAATGAATATGATAATATTGCACATCTATCTTTTTAATATCTTTTAAACATCGCGAATGCATAATTATGCCACATATATAATAAGCATAAGTGTTACATATGTACAGCAATGTACATTATACTTCAAATAAACAATAAAAATGATACAGGAAATTTCAATAAAACAAATGAGATGTCTTATTGACGCTTAAGAAATCGAAAATAAAGCTATTTTCCCCGTCTTCTGTTGTATTTAGCGTCATTCCTGAGTAATTGATGTAAGTGATGAATTGAGACATCGGCTTGTACTTATCATTTGATTTGGTTCTAGCTGCAACGTCTCGCCAAAGGCACAACGCTGCGTCAATTTCAAGATAAACTTAAAATGAATCATTTCTTTCATAAATATACTGTAAAAAATTCCGGGTCAAATTACAGTAAAAAGTTCTGGCACCCTCAATGCAACATCCGTAAAAGCCATTTTACCGTTAAGTCTATTTTTACCATAAAATTACAGTAATATTTATTTAGTTACAGTAATTCAGTGATTTTACCGTAAATAATACTGTAAAAATTACGATACATCAGATTTTCTGTTCCGTAAATTTTTACAGTAAAAATAAACTTTACGGTAAAAAATACTTGCACACTCAGTGCCCATATTTTTTACCGTAATTTGATCTAGAATTTTTTTTCAGTGTACTAGTTACCATACAATGCTCTGCTGTATAAACATTTTATACACACGTTTTCTGTCTTAGCAAGCAAGCGCAAACAATAGCAGTGTTTTTCACATCAACTGTCTGTGGCAAATGTTTAAACCATTATTAATTTGAAAACACTGAAAATTTCTAAAAATAGACTAATTTTGCTATATAAATTGTATACTATGAAACGCAAAGAACGAAAATTTAAATTGCTTTAAATATGAAAAACAAGTTTAATTTGTCAAGAAAAATGAATTTGATTTCATAGATTTTAATTAAATCGTTATTATTCGCACCTATTTTGATGAATTTTTTTGGTTCAAATGTTTAATTTTACATGACAATTGTAATTTGAAACAATAGAAACTGAATTTATAATCAATCACAATATTCATTCACTTTATATTCATTACATTTTTCACAAACTTTAAGTACTTTTTTCTGGTTGCTCGGAGATATTTGTGATACCCATGTGCACTAGCTCATTTCTAATTCCGGAAACAACTGCAATACTACTAAACCTTGAAACCAGTTTATAAGATTTCTAAGTTTTCAGAAGTTTATTTTAATTTGAGTTTACATTGAAAAAAAATTAAATAAGTTATTATTTTTCAATTTACATGAAGAAATGGAAAAATATTACTTGTAGATAATATAATGTGAGTTGAATGAATGAAAAAATTTGATCGAAATCGATTTCAGTCAAAGAATAATTTAGTTTGAAAAAAATTGAACAGAAAAATTACAACTCATTTACAAAAGTAATATAATTATAAAACTGAAACATAAGTTAACTTGAAAAAAAAAGTCATTTATAAAATTTTAACCCAACATTTCCTTATATTTCGAAACTGAATAAAACAATTTAAAAGTAAACAGTTTTAAAATTCTTGAATCAAATATATGATTATAGTTCAAAAAATTAAAATGTGAAATGAAATGTAAATAAATAATGTTAATTGACATAAGAGATTCTTTAAAATTCATATCGACTAAGTCTACAATGAGAGAAGATGACATAATGTTACTAGATTCTAACAGCCACATTTATACACAGAAGCAATTTTGATTACAATATTTACAATGGTCGAGATATGAAAATATTGGAGAAATCTTTGAACTTTTCTTTGACTTTAAAATGCTCATTTCATGAAGAGGTAATAAATTTCGAAAGTCATTTGGTAGGTAATAGCTGGTCAAGGATAACATTTCGAACCATGAAAAAAATATATGGCATAGTATGTAAAATCTTGCGCTAAAAATGCTTCTATTAATGACTGTACATATGAAGTCTGATCAGCAAACGTTACTTTAATTATTATGAAATGCATTTGACTTGCATTTAAGGGCTTCAAGTCTAACCTTATCACCCAAAAATAAAACACGTTATTTATCTTTAACGATGTTTCAATTTTAATTTCTAATGTCACGTAAGGGAGACTTTGCAGATGGTGTGTATTGCTGCACATGCATGAGAAAAAAATAGTGTAGGTGAACGGATTGCAGCAGAAGAGCACAGACTTGCTCATTAGTCATCGCTTTGAAAACCCTTATACGGATGTTACTGCACTCATTGCTTGTTCTCGGATTTTTCTTTCTCGTATTTCTTCTTGAATATTTATATCAGGTCGACAGAGGGCTTTCATCCGCTAAAAGAATAATTAATTATTATTAGAATTTTATTAAAATACAAGTTAAGCATAAAAAGTCAATTTCTCTCACAATGCAAAGATTCTATATGACTCTGTATGAAAGCTTGATATGTTAAAATGGATGCTATGTTAGAGATAAAAACCAAAGCAGCAATGGCCAACAATAATATGATAGCACACAGTCACCCCACACAGAGAAAAAAAATGGTAATACCAGAATATGGTAAAATTTACAGTGTTTCTGGCTATTGGGGAACAACATTAATATCGGTAATATTTACCGACGTACTTTTGGTAATGATTTTAGTAAGATTAACACTAGAATATGGTTTTAATCATCTGTGATAAAATTTGATAAAAGTGGTAATATTTGGTAATTTTATCAGGATACCCTAGACTCAGAGCATGACATAAAAATCATTTTTTCGGTAAAATTGGCTTTTCGGTTTTGTATTCTTTACTTAATGTGTGGTAATAGGAACAATAATTTTAAAAATCAAAACGGTATATTAACGGATATTAACATATTAACGAAACAATTACCTAACGAATGATTTAAATATCGTATATTTTGGTTTTATAGACTAGAATTATGGTTTACTTTTACCAGAAATGTCATTACCATACAGTGCGGTAATTTTATCAGAATTTTTTCTCTGTGTCTCTTCGAAATGAACTAACTGAAAAACATGCTTTTTTTCACTGTAGTCGAAAAATATAAAAACTTAATAAAGCAGAACTCAACGTATAATATCAAAAAATATAAAACTGTTTTTAAGAAAGACAACAAAATGGTATTCAATATGGCGTTATTTATTGTATTGTTATTCTGAATAAACGTGTATAATATGCAGTGATATAACATTTTATTACTGTATTTTTTGATGCAAAAAGTGACCTGTTAACAGAGTCCAATCTATCTAAGGCAGTACAGAAAGTTTCTATACAAGTGTTAAGCTACTGTATAAGTGTTGATGTAACAATGAAGCACATCATGCTCATTCAATGTAGTACACATTTTTTAAAGTGATAAAAGCATTTGTAAGAAATGTAAAGCTTTGACAACATACCGGGTTTTTTTACCAGGTAAGACAGAACTATAATTACAGTAGAATTATTTTGGGGAATCATATCCTTCTATTATGAAGTTTTAAATCTGTCTACGATAAAAAATATTAAGTTTCGATTTAATTTTACGTTTTTTGGGTAACGATAAGGCGTGTAAACTTATTTAGAAGTACTAAAGAGATAATTGTTAAAAATTTTGAACATAAATAAATAAAATTTCATGCAAATGTGATATACATATAATTCTAGAATTGATAAAAAATAACCACACGCTGAATGATAGGTGTAAACGCTTAAAATGCTTGATTTTAAAATATGTCTTGATCAGCTATACGAATAGAATATTAATTTTATCCAGTAAAGTTTTAAATAAAGTGGTTTTCAATGGGAAAAGGTATTTGACCTCTTTCATGCCAAGCATAAAATTTTATGAAATGTAGTATTATTTTCATTGAATTATGTTTAAATTACATTCATTAAAACACACAAAAAAATTTTGTGCATGAAAAATAATATTTTATGTTAGAAATAAAATGGTGCATACATGCACCATTAACCAAATCAATAGGCAAATCATTTAGCATATTTTAAGTTAAGGAGAACTATTAACTATTAAAGAGCAGTACTATTAAGGAGTATTTATTTAGTACTATTTTAAGTTAACTAACGCAATTAAAAAAGTTCTCAACAGAAAGTGTTTACTCTAATTGAATTACTAACATTTTATAGATGTTTTCGTAACGCTTGACAATAGCAGAAAAATAAAATTAGTGAAAAATATACGTCACAGCTTTAATAAAAATCATTTATTGCAATGGTGCGTTTACCCACATTTGGCCGAAAGTGGAGCTTACCGCTGTTGTTATATGTTCTATAGATCTTTCCAATTTTACAAAAAGGTCACCTTTTTGCCAACTTACCAATTACATATTAAATTTCAGATTTTAACTATATTTTAAATACTAAAATTTTAATTAAGTGCATACATAAAGAAATAGATGATTACCAACTTTTCAGCGACAGTAAAATAATTACCTCTCTGAATGTGCCAGTCACAGTACAGTACTTGTAAATAGCATAAGCAGGTATACATAGCATGGAAGATAATCCCAGCAACCATCCAATAGCTTCGCCCCACCATGGATATTCATAAGATATATACTTTAGAGGTTTGTACTGCACTATACTGAACAGAAATACTCCCTGTGAAATTAAACATTAATATTTAAATGCAAGCAAAATTTATTTTCTTGATTACTCTCACAATAAATTGAAATGCAATCCCAGGTTAAAAGTAAAGAATTATTAAGATTTTTAAAATGTCTTGAAGCAATGAAACTATTATTATAAGTTATAAATTTAACTTAAAAATTTACTTTAGTGCCAAGTTTTAAAGTTTTAATTTACTGACTAATTGTAAGTTTATTTTAATAGCTATCTGACTATATAATGTTTAACTTATTATATTTAAACTTATATGTATTTATTTATATGTAATCCCACAAAGTCTTTTATAAGCCTATTATTGGCTTGGCTTATTAAATTATGAAAATAAAAAGTGAGTTTTAAAATAAGTATTTGAGTATCTATAAGTAAACGCGCATTTCAAGCTATGATCATTTTTAGGCTAGCATTTTGACTCATTGTTTAAAATAAAAAACTTATGGAAAATCTTTTTTTTTCTTAGTTTTTATAAGCATTAAAAGCTCATCCTTTTACCAAAAAAAGAAAAAAGGAAAAAATTTCAATTAACGTCTTCTTTTAGCGTGGAAATTTTTTTTTTAAAATCTCGAATGCATCGACTTTAAATCTCCATAATATTAACAGAATTTAAAATAATGTATAAACTTACCCCACAGACGCAAGGTGTGAAAAACACCCAACACAGTTTCCACCAGAAGCAAGGATAATAGCCTAACATATCACGAAGATTATCATAATAACGGTTGACGCCTAAGAAAAAATATTATAATTTGTTTAAAAGACCAAAGCATATAACACTACACTATAAAAAAAATATCTGTTAAATTTGCAGAAAAAAAAAACTGTCTGTTTATGTGTCAGTATAAAACCATTTATTTCAGAGAAAATAAAGAGCTTTTTAAAAACGGAAGCTTCTTTTGTGAGCAGATTAGTACTGTTATTTCAAAAAACAGAAATCTGCTATTTTAACAAACAAACTTCGTTATTTTAGCAAACAAACTTTGTAATTTTAACAAACAAACTTTGTTATTTTAACACACAAACTTTGTTATTTTAACACACAAACTTTGTTATTTTAACAAACAAACTTTGCAATTTCAACTGTTATTTTTTTAAAAAAAAACTCGATGTAATAACTATGTCAAAATTGTGGTCCGTGCAAGCTCAGAGCAAAATTCTCATGACCACTCAACTCCAAGACTCGAGCTCGGGTCATCATGCGAGCACTCTGTCCCCTGAGCCACGTTTGCTCTAGTGCTTGATTATTTCATTTTAAGTCGTGGAACAGCCGACCCAATTTTTGGGTTTACGACTAATAATGTTCAACTCCGTGGCCTTGTAATTTTGAACGCAGTCCAGAAGATAAAGGAGCTCCTGGATCAAGTATCGAACGAATATCTCATTTGCCTTCGTGGAGGACTTTTCGATGGAACTAACCCGCATTTGCGTTACATATAGGGGGAAACCTCCCACTGTTAGCTTAACGTCAAGAGGACTCTAACTCATGATCCGTCTACCACTGAGGATATTTTACGTCAGCACTGTGGTCGGTGCGAGCCGGGGGCGGAATTCGTACCAGCTAGCCGTCGCTGGGATTCGAATCCGGTTCACCTCATTGAACGGCGAGTGCTCTATCCCCTGAGCCACCACGGCTCTTAGTGCTTGGTTATGAAGAAAAGTCTTAAACTGTCTTTATTTTAAAAGTCTTACTTATTGAAATTACTTTTACGTGTAAAAACGTTTAAAACTACATTGGCCCACCCTTATAAAAATGTCTGGCAATTTAAACCAAATTCAATTCCGGCAATTCAACCGAAAAGCTATATTTAAAAATAAATAATTATCAGGTAGAGTATCAATTCGGCAATGAAGTCGAATCAGAATTATATTTATATGATGTTCAGAACCATAGAATAATTTCCGAAAAAAAGTTAGATTAAGTATAGAAAATTTGAAGAATTTGAAAATTTAAATAGATTTGAAAAAAAGGTAAAGTTATCTTACGATAAGCAAAACTGCATGGCTTAAACAAGAATTTGAATTGAAAGTTTTAATCCGTTTATGATTAGGATGAAAAATTACATCCAAGTTTCAAATCGTATTTAGACATTTAACAAAATATAATTAAATTTGCATGCATTCCAAATTTACTTTTTAAGGGAATTTTCATGTCACCGATATAGCGACGTCCCGCTTTTTACGACGTTTTTGTCCTGTCTGACAAATGTTGTTAAATCGAGGCTCTATTGTATAATTTTTTATCCTATAATAAAATATTATATTATTTACCATATGACCAAGAGATGGAGGTTACTTCGAAAAATATTAAGAAAAGTAGTGAGATCCCGCTCGCAGCATAGTAATCAAATAACTGGAACACATACATTCCACCCTAAAATGATATAATTAAGGAAAAATTACTAAAAAGAACTAAAAATAAAAGAGAAATTTAAGATCACACTTACAAAGGAAGTACATCTGTGGTAAATCCTTACCCCATCTCAAGCTTTTGACCATGCTCTATAATTTAATTTCATTTCAATAGGATTTTTACAAATATGTACTTCCCTTGTTAGCGTATTTACATACACAGTTTGCTTCAAAATGACCTCCTTTAATGCTTATTTTTAGAAACCGTATTTCAAATAAAGTCCAAAAAAGTATACTCAATAGAAGTAACAAATTGATATTAAAAAGAGGAAAAAACAAATACGGTATCAAAATGTAGCAAAGCATTATTGAGGAAGACGGGATTGAAAAAATCTAGTTCAGCTTGGTTGTCAAAGAAATCAGAGAGCAAGTTGAAAGGCTATTGTTAGAAATACCTTCAACTTTCTTCCGACAATCAAACTGGTTTTAATTTTTTTCACCATGCGTGTTTCATTTGTTAATTTGGCAGGCATTGATGGCGTATTTGTTTCTTTATTAATTAAAAATTTGTTTGGTACCACAAATTGTGCGTAATGTATAGACAAGGATTTTAAAAACTCACTACAGTGATTACTAAACACCTTATGTCCACTAACTAGAGAATTCAAAATCACGAGTTAATTCTCATGCGCTACTACGAGTATTCTTACAACATAACTCAAATATTTCTAATTTACGAGGTTTCGATAACTTTTGCCAAATAGTTTGTAAACAATGAATATTGATTGGAACATAAGCTTCATACATTGCTGGCTGGAGTATTACTGGTTCAGCAGTAGCTATAATGAGCATAGTATTTTTCAAGAGCACATTCAATATTTATATCAGCAATGGGCGTTTTGTATGAGCAGTTTACTCTGAGCACAATCAATAATTGTAAAAGAGACTAAAATACTGAATAATTTTAAATCTTTTAATGATAAAATCCCATAGAATTACGCACATATTGTTTGAATCTTCTATCCGAATCCCTACGCAAGATATTTGTATTTTTGGATGCTTTTAAACTTGTTAAATGAATCAAACAACTTGAAATTTAAGTTATTAAACCTATCCCTTAAACGTATAAACACCAATAGTTTTAATGTGTTTAGTGTACGAAAAATTCAAAAAAAGTGCATAAAATTTATTTTTAAAAAAATATTTTCTATCTTTTTTAATTTATGCGTCTGAAATAGAAATATTTTTTCACATTTGAAAAAATGAGAATGAAGAATAGAAAGAATGAATATCTTTTTTTATTTCATTTACACATTCACTAGCTTATATTTTTTATGCATATATTAGTAGATATTATGTCAAACATTCTAAACGAAAATTTGAATTTTGAACAAAAATTGGCATTTTCATCACCATCTTTAAAATCTATACTTTTTTTAAAAAGAGATCTCTTTTTTATTTTATGAGTAATGTGTTTTAATAGTTCAAAAATAAATATTTAGTTCTACAATCCTATGAGAAACCTAGTGATTATAATTAGGCCCTTTTCTCTTTATACTTAGGAAGGCTTTTGCTTCTAATAGTATATTCTAAATGAATAAACAATGCGACTCCCCCCCCCCCCCAAAAAAANTTTTTTTTTTTTTTTTTTTTTTTTTTTTTTTTTTTTTTTTTTTTTTTTTTTTTTTTTTTTTTTTGAAATTTCAAAGTAAACTTAACCAGAAAAATTAGTTGGAAACATGTAAAATTAATTTAGCAAGATTTGTAACATCCATCTGGGAGTGAGAACATATTTAGTATAATATATCGCAATATTGTTGCAGGAATTTTTTGAAGTGCTCTAATAGTTATTTAAAATTTTTCAGTCCATAAAGGCAGAAAAAACTATTTCACTCCAGTTAACCATTTTAAAAATCGCGTCAAATACGAAGTAGAAAAAAAATCACATGTTAGAAATCTCAACTCAATATTTAAGCGAGGGAAAAATAAAAACTTTTCCGGAATCCAGGGAATCACTATGGAGAGAAGAGGGTTTAAATACTTGAAAATCTGTATAACAGGAAGAAAAAAGAGGAGTTAGAAGGTTGTTATTAAAAACATCTTAAAGTTTATTCCGTTAATCAAACTAGTTTTGATGTTCTTAATCTCACCTTCTTTAATAAACGACTCGTCAGATTTTGATATTGTCTTTTTATTCTCGCTTAAATATTAAATTGAAAATATAAGGGTACATAACTTTATATCAGGGATTTTAAAAATACATCCTAAATTTTATGCGTTATGGAGCATTCCGTTTATAACATTGGTTGATAAATAAAACCACAAAAGTAACAGTTCGAAATAATTTATATAATTCTTACTTGCGTAACAAAACAAAGTCCCATGATGTAGGATACAACGCAAACAAAAGCTATGAACAGTTCTTTATGAGGTCTTAATTGTCTTGGCCACTCATCAACAACTGCAGTAATAAAACCTTCCATCGTACAAAACTGCAATAAGAAAAAATTTTAGTCTAAATCTTTTCTTAAATAAAAGCATTGATTTGCTTTCCAAATCCAACTAAAAATAAAATATTTAGATTTTATGCTTCGTAGTCTTAAAAATATCAATTTATAAATGATTTATTAATTAGTTTATAGTTACATTAAAATTATATTTTTTGATCATTTTTTATAAAAGTTTTGTAGGAAAAAATCATATTTTTGACGTATAAAAAATTTTTATTTAAAGAAATAATTTTTTTAAATGCTTTTAAATTTTTTTCCAGTAAAGAAAATGAAGGATGCGTTTTCTTTTTAAATGAATTAAACTATTATTTCCTTTAATTAGTAAATTCCTATTTAATGTTAAAAATTATTTAATCTGAAGCCTTTTCTATGCATTAAAATTTATTATTTGAAAAAAAAATACATACCTTTTGAAAGACAATTTTCCCAGTGGTGTATGAGTCTGACTTACCTTTTTTTATCCAATGAATTATTTAATTAGAACATATACCAGCATGAAATACATAATCAATATCTTGAAATTAATTTTAAAAATGCTTGTTTTTTTATATTTTTTAATTTCAGAAAAAAAAGAAGAGGCCTTTCATAAACAATTTATCAAAACTAATAATTTATTGAACCTGAGCTTTAAAACTTATAAATGAACATTCGTTTTTGCAATTTATTCTAATCTTCAAGGATTTATTTAAATAAAATACTTTCCAAGGGCAGTTAATTTTTTATCTTTGAATAATATTCATTTTATTTCATTTATAAGAGTAGAAAAATAATCTTGTTTATACCTGACTGTCAAGACCCAGCATTAATATCATTAAGAAAAAGAGCACAGCCCATAATGGTGATATTGGTAATTTCAAAACAGCAGAAGGATATGCTAAGAATGCTAAACCAGGACCTAAGGAAAGAAAAATAGTTATAAAATTATGTCACTATTTCATAATTATTTGTCACTATTTGTATATTTCAACTAAGAAAAAAACCTCAGGAGACATTTTTATGAATTTAAATATTTTACAATTTGTCAGTTATATCTCAGAGGGGAAAAAATGAAGGAAAATGCATTTAGAGGCAGTAAAATACATCTGGTACGTTTGGGATGTACATCATTTTATGTTGCGTCAAAGCAGTACGTGTCTCCAAGCGTTTGGTCAAACTTTTGAGCATCTCCTGCTATAGTCTTGGTCATAAATGTGTAAAATCTGTGGAAATAAAGTAAAATTAAGATGAAATTGAGTGACGTTTGTTGATTGTCCTGGCTTTGAAATTCCCCATATTATACATCCACTGATAAATAGATCAAGTTCTGAATATCTAACCATTAACTTCTACGGAACCACAATTACGCGATTCTCCCTTCATGGCTCACGGTATGAGGTGAGCCTTTCTGACTCTAACAGCCCAAGATCATACGAACATGATCTCAATTCGGCACTCTTGTATCATATGTTGTATTAGTACTTATACGTGCTCTTTAGTACGTATAAACTCGGAGCGTGCGGAATTAGGAAAGTGATTCTTTCTCCTTATGTGGTCTTAAAACAGCTAAACTCTCTTATTTCCGAAAAGAAGAATCTGAAAACAAAATATCGGATGTAACTCACTAGTAATGTAACTCACTTTTGGAGTGATAAAGGTGTCAAATGGGCATCGATAAATGCCCTTATATTAGTAATTTTTATCCAAATAGTTTCTTGAAATTGTATCAATGATGTACCAAATTGGCACACCAAATAATTTGTTGCATAAATTACTCTGGGAGGTACTTGACAATTCACCTTATAGTTTCGATCTTGCTCTCCGTGATTTCCTCGTATTTCGGGGCATACCACTGTTTCAGTTTTGATATAAAAGTATTCTGTATCATATTTATGTAGTCATAAAAAATCTTAATTTTGGGAAAATATTAACAATTTCAAGTATCTATTTGAAATGAATATTCCATACAGAGAGGATTATTTGATCAACATTTCTTTGTTTTTTTTCCCAAATACAGTAGATTAAATTTAATAAAGTTGGCTCTCATAACTTCATCACTAAAGAAATTGTAAAAGTTGCATTTTTAGCAGTATAAAATTATTCCACACAATTTGAATATTTATCACGAATTTAAAGCTCATAATTTCAAAAAATAACTTCAAATAAATATTTATTTTATTATATTTCAATTTAACAACTATAAAGTCGAGCAGTAACCGGTAAATTGCTTAAATCATTAGCGGTAAATAACAATTGAAAAAAATATTTTATAGCAACTATTCTTCGAGAAAGCAGCAATCACAAAGAAACGGAATAAGAGATTGTTATAGGAAAATGTTAAAATTATAAAATTTAAAAAATAAAAATATACCAATATTTTAAATAATTCACAGACATTATATTCAGATTCTTTTCCTCCTTGGCTTATTTTAATATCATACACATATTAATGGATATCATTTATTTAACTGGATTTATTTTGAGAAAACTACTGGGCTTTCAGAGTAAAATATTTTTCAGTAATTTCTAGGAAAAGGAAAAATATTTGACTAAAGTTTTCGCTCTTAAAAGGAAAAAAATCCTTTTGACTTGCATTTAACCAAATGAAGCGTATATAATTTTTGTGTAATTTGTAAAGACTTGTTTTCAATATTTTATCATCATTTTGGGGAAAATGTGAATTCATGTTGTCTCTCGAGTTTTAAAGGAAATATTCTGATGTTCACTGTGGAATTAAGCAATATATTATTGCTGCGCTTTGTTACTTATGAATGCCAGTTATGTATTATTGCGTCTTATTTACCTGAAGCAGCTACCTCACTGACAGGTTTGTTTTGTTCGTGTGCCATGAATCCAACTACAGAGAAAATGACAAAACCAGCAAACATTGATGTACCACTGTTAATGCAGGATACTATCAAAGAATCCCTTTAAGACAAAACATGAATTATATTAATAAATTGATTTTAACAAAGAGCCGAATAAATAATTATATACAGGGTGTTCTGTAAAAACCCAACATAATATATAATTTTATAATTCTTATAAAAATAATAACATAATAGTATTTACTTTAAGGGTTACAAATTAACATATCGAGGAAAATAAAACCAAAAATATTTCATAGAAGTTTTTTACAGAAAAATTGTCCATTTCAAATAATATTTCGTTCAATGTAAATTAAAAATACAAATAAATGTATGTACAAAATATCCATTCATTTCTAATTTTTGGGATCATTTTTATCTTACGTGTTTGATGAGTGTTGATATCGAATTCAAAATAAACTATCTATCGGTAAACCCATTACAAATAGTTTGGCACTGCCATCTGGAGTGTATATTGAGAAATAAGCATGATTCTGGACAAAAGAAATAGATTGTCTTAATTTTCTTAGCGCTTTATTTTTGAACACTCTAGCCCAGAAATATCATGGGTACGAGGAATAACGGGTGAAACTTCACCCCGTCTTTATAGTGGGAGCGAGATAGGGTGTTAAATGGCTTATTTGAGTTAACGGATGGTGAATTATTTCTTTTCTTATTGTATTTCTCACTTATAACAAGTGGAAAATACACATGAATGATGATTTCTTATGTCTAATTCAAGTGCTTTATAGACTCAAATATATCAAACTGTGGTGACTCTTTTATCTTTCTTTTATGAAAGTAGAGGGATATATTTATTTATTTGCATACATATAAGGGTTTCTTTTTAAAAACGAAGAATGGTTTAAAAACTTTTCAATTCATAATTTTGAAAAAGATGGTAAATATGTACAGTGTACTTAAAAAAATAATTACATGAATATATTTATAATATTTTTAACATATTTATAATATTAAATGAAATATTAATGATACAAAAAAATTTGTTCTTTTCTTAAAAGCTGGGAAATATTGTTCATGATTAAGATAATGTTACACGAGGCAAAAAAGAGATTTTTAAAAAAAATGATGCATGCACAGTTCAATATCAGATTGAAATCCAAGCATATTTTATTGAAATACTAGAATTATTAATAGGTTTCAAAGTAAAATCACGAAATCCTAAATTAACATGGAAACTAAAAATGCCTCTCTGCATCATCTAGAATAAAAATTGTTTTTTTCAATTTACAATAAAAAGAAAGTTATTCATTGTATCAAAAATTCAAAAATGCTAAAAATTAAATTTATTCATAAAATTTTTAATCGGGAAAAAATATTGTGTGACATATACTGTCAACCGGGGTAACTTTAATCACTTTTTCGTGTTTTTACTTACATATTAATTAATGAAAAATTAATAAATGAACTTTCAACGTTCAAATTGAGTTTCAAACAGTTAATAAAACCTAAGGAAGTAAACTGTTCAATTTTTTTTTTAAAAAATAATTCCTTTATTTATATTTTTTACTATTTTTTGAAATTTTTTATCCAAAGTAACCTTTGTTCAAAGTTTCGTTTCTGACCACTCACTTTCAGAAATTGAGTACTATTCCCATCTTAGACCATTGCAACCCCTTGCGCAAGACTGCTAATCAAATGACGCGAAAAATTGACAAGAACTTAGTTTACAGATTTAAACATTAAAAAAAACTATGTTTGAAAAGCATGAGAAAATGCCTATTTTTATTCTTATGACTTTCACATGCTAAATTTTTCATTCTAACTCGTTATCAGCTATCTCAGGGCCCTTGAAGTATTCTCATCTCATTAACTTGAGGGTATTTTTCATTTTTTGAGGTCAGCCCACTCGTAAATAGGATTATCTTTTCAATGGGCTTGATTTTATAGGTTATATTAATGAAAACTTTAAAATGTTACGTCAAAGCAAAAAAATAAAGAAAAGCAATTATTGGTAACATTGATAACAGGTCACCAAAGGTAACATTTTATTGCCTTCCTTTTTTTTTATCCCGTAACTGGATTCGTCTGCAATGGAAAGTTTGAATATAAACAGTTTACTTATCAAAACAAATGCTTCACAATAACTAAAGTGTCACCAATGACAAAATTTTTAATTACCCAAAACTATTAAAATACTCTTGTATATAAGGTATCAACTGTTTTTAAGCCTAAAACTGCCCTTAGGTCTTATTTCATTTGTTCAGTACAAAAATTAACGCATTTTTTTTTGTTTCGGACCAAAGTTGCCGCGGTTGACGGTACTAAACAGTATGTAGTTTCTTATTCATATTCTTAAAAAAATATTCATCAAAATTCTGAAAAAATTAAAATTTTAATTTTAAAGTGAAAATTCACATGAAGAAGAACACCACTATGGATTTAAAGGAAATAAAAAATTTATTAAAATGATGCTATTAATTCGACTTCTATGGGAATATTTGAGATTATATTTCTAAAAAAGCTGAAACTCACAAACCAGAATGTTATGACGCCTTCTGGATAAGGATGGAACAGGATTTCGTAAACTTTATGAAATATTTTCTCTTAACAACTTTTTCGAGGTTAACTTATTCATTATATTATTAACGTATACATTGCTTAATAATTAAATTTAAAAACTTTTAATCACATACTAATGTTTTTTCCGTTTCATGCTGAACCATGCCGAGAACTCTTGAAGAAGATGAAATTAAAAATGATGGCGAAATTAAATTTGAAGGTATTTCTTATAACTCCAGTGTTACCAACTACAAAATTTTCAAATTACCCAAAACTATTAAAATACTCTTGTAGTTGAGGTCCTTGCACCTTTTTACGATATCCTCATGCACGGAGTTGAACATTGGCAGTGGTAAACTCAATATTAGGTCCACTGTTCAACGATGGTTATTAAATAAGACATAAAATATCCCAGTCAATCAAGCAATTTAGTTTTTAGTGTTTTAAATCTCGCTTTTCTTGTTGATATTGTTCCGTGTTTCAATAACGTTTTTGCTTTCACCTCGCTTAAATGTTAAACCTTCGGAGCTGAATGGTTAATATTTCTTACTTCATTTTTAAAATAATTCTAAAAATATATATTAAAGGCGATGATTAAGGTCCACCCTATATGTAGTTCAAATCAATGGACGATCGTGTAGCTGGCTTTACAAATTGATACTAATTTTAATTTTAAATATTTAAGTTTTTTCATACCATGATCCAACCAAGAACTGTTATTTAGGTGTCTACAGCATTTGAAATAAGTCTCATCTGATTTTAGTAGTTGCTCATTCTAAAATATATTCTTCGAGAACGTAATTTTACGCTAAAAGATACTATTTAATTTAAAATATAATTCAATATATCTTTAATATATGTTTAAAAATATTTCGTTAATGCGTATGACTTCAGGTGATAAGATTCTGCGATGCTTTTAAATATATTTTTTTCTCTTTTCCTTTACTTATTTAAACTAAAATTATTTCTGTTATCCTTTCAATTTAAAGTAAATTTTTATTTCGAAGTAAAGATTAAACTTATTTGACACTTCTTTAACTGAAGAAAAATTGTTGTATTAAGTTCCTTTTCAAATTAAATAACTCACGTCATGATAAAAATTACCTACTAATTATATTACTACTTATTAAAAATTTAAATAATTCTTAAGGGAATATGCATTTTTACTATCTTGAGAATTTACGTCTCCATCAAAAATACCATCTTAAAAAGTAGGACAATTTTAAAAGTAATTAGTTGAAGTAAACATTTACCTTTTCTCTAATTTAATTTTTACCTGTAAACGTTATTAGAATACTTATTGTAGCTGCCTAATGCAATTAGAGATCCCAATCCAAGACCATAAGAGAAGAAAATTTGTGTTGCTGCATCAATCCATACCTAAGATTAAAATAATAATGAAACTCCATTTTCTTTCTATATATAATAAAAAATAATAATTTCGTCCCAAAGAAAACTTTTGCTTATTGCTTTGTGTATAGCTTTTGCTCATAATTAATTCAAGTACTAAGAAATTTGATTAATTAAAAGCTAAAAATTTAATTGATTCGCCACTTTTAGATGATTTAAAAACCCTTTATCTTCTTTTCACCCAAACAAAAGTGGAAAAACATTACATATTTTGTTTGGGTCAAAAATAACGCAAAGAATATAGTATTTATTTATTTATTTATTTAGGAATTTTTCTTCTATTTTTTCCCATTTCCTTCTTTTTTTTTACCCCATTTAAAAAAAATTGATTTGGATAGAAAATGTTTCCTATTTTTGTTCATAAGTATAACAAAGCTGATCCAACCACAAAATTATAATATAAAAAAACCTACCTAACAGGAAACCTAAAATATGATTTGATTGAAAAACCAATTAAATGAAGTTATGCATAATATAGTTAAGTGACATAAAAAGTTTTTAATTTTATTTGTTAACTTTTAATAATGATATAACGATAAAAATTTGGCTATTTTGGCTGAAAAGAAATGAAACATTTATTTAGCTTAATTAAATTGATAATTTTTGAAGCCAAAATATATTAACGGATTATCAAAAATTTCTAAATGAAATACATAGAAAATATTTATGACCTGTTCTATTATATTTTTTTTCAAATAAGAACAGTAGTAAAAGTCAACCAAAAAGCATTATGTTTGTTTTTTTTTTAAAAGTTAACAAGGATCTTTTTTGAAAAGATAGTTAATGTAAATATACAAGAAATGATTTGTTATTTTACTCAAAAAATCTTATATTGTTTATGCTTCAGTTTTCATTTTTTATCAATTATGTGGATGGGTAGTTAGTAAAAATATCTATAGATGGCGCTAGTAACTATCATTAAACCAAATGACTTCAATATGATTTATAAAAGAAGATAGAGCTTTAATTACTGCGAGACTAATGTTACAACTACGGATGACTGATTGAATTATACTTAAATTGAGCACTTCCTCACATCGAGGTCATAACTCAATGAGTTGATCGAGACCAAGTATTACAGGCATGCAATTTTAAACTCAGAAAATAAGGTGTCGAGAATGGAATATATTACTATCGTTTAATTACTCAGCTATTAAAATAGAAACAAATTTAAATAAGTGTAAATATTTTTCTTATAAACGCTTATCTTATTTTTGAAATCACATCTTTTAAGTTAGATTCAATACTTCTTTAGAAATGATCAGCATCAATTACTCAATAAACTAGTGAAAATAAGGTAATTTATTTAAAATATATCAACTTAAATTCTTTATAAATTATATCTAGAACTTTATTTAAAGTTGAAATTATGAAATGCCAAGTTAGTTCAGAAATATTGAGTCACTAATTTTCCGAAATCTTAATGAGCAAAAAACAATAATATATTGAAATTTAACTAATTTTAAATTATCTTTAAGGATTTCATAATATAAATATATTTTTAAAGTTCTAATTCTTTTTTAGCTGAAAATTAGTTCATAAACTAAGAACGCTCACTAACAATTAAATATTAAAAGCAGTAATTGGAAAACATTAAATCGATTATTATTCACATTAAATCGATTGCTATTTTGTTAAGTTCTTGTTAATTTCATAATAAGTGTTAAAGATGAATTCATAACCATATTTCAAAAAAAGAAAATAGTATTTTTAATATAAAATTATCTTGCAACATCTGAAAGGTGATAAAGTAGAGCAAAACTTATTTCATAGCTTACATATTAATTAAATAGCTAAGAATAATTAGGAAATATTGACAGAATTACTGAAATACATTATGAAAACGGAGATTGAAATCGTAATTTCCGTAATAAAAATAACTGAAATTTTATCTTTTGAATTTTAGACATGCTTTTTTCGACGTCATGTTTTAAAATTTAAGACAGGTAAAACTGGAATGCGGTTATAAAAAAATAAACTAAAAACAATTCCTTAAAAAAATATAGTTCCACATAAAATGTTTCTTGTGAGAACTTTTTTTAAAGAAAAATTCATTTTTAAAGCGAAAAATACGGTATAGCAAACTCTGATCCCGTACTCTCTCTCTTTTTCTTTGAAAAAGTAAAAAAAGCATTTAAAAAAAACTGCCAGCCATAAACCGTTTTCTATAAAAGGTTTTAGAAAATATAGATATTAAAAATATCAACAGATTTGAATCTTACTTGTTACTGATTTTGATATGATTTCTAGAAAAGGACGTTTACTAGTCATAAAACAAATAGTAATCATCTTTACACTATTTTATTTAATAATACATATATTTATAAGTGTTTGAAATTTTTTCTAAATTCATTTTACGTGAATATTGTAGTCGCATTAAACTTTCAAAAAAGTAAAAAATATTTTTTTTTCTGAAACGTACTGAAGTTTCTGAGTTAATTTTTTTTAAATTTTTAAGTGCATTTTTTAATTAATTATTAAGTAATTACAATACTTATAAAAACAAAACTTAGCACTTTTAAGTTTATTCCTACTTAAAACTAAATTCTCTAAAACTGTATTATTATGAAAAGTACGAAAAGTATGACTTATATAAACTATAGTAACATAAAACTATCAGAATATCTAATTAAAACTCTAATATTTCATATATTATCTAATTTCAAAAATATCTATTTTTTTAAACTATGATATTGCATTGAAGCTATAAAATCAAAATTAAAAAAATGTTGGAAAAACTACCAATATCATAAAATATTGCCTTTATTAATCAAATGCATGATGATCTGGATTTTATCCAGTACATTGATGACAATTCGTAATTTATCTATTAAATTAACAGTAAATCATAACAATTTTATATATTGTAAATGTTTGTTGAGCTCAAATTAAGGGATTGAAATCGCTTCAGATAATTATTTTGCTCATATTAATTAACAATCAACATACAATACCTGAGAATCCTTCAATTTCTCCATATTAGGCATAATGTAAAACCAAATACCAGCCCCAGCACCAGGGAGAGTTAACCCTCTGATGAGTAAAATGAAAAGCAATAAGTATGGAAATAGGGCAGTGAAGTAAACAACCTAAAAAAAGAAATATGTGAAATTTATAAACTCTATGGTTCTAGGAAAAATGTCAATTATTCCATTTTAAGTAAAATAAAATTTGTTCATAAACAAGAATAAACTAAAACAGGATCAAATGAGAAAAATTAGTGATACTGAAAACAAAAATAGAGCTAAAAATTGCATTATTATTTACATAAAATGTGAAATAGACTTATGATTTATGTTAACATAGATTATTATTTATATGTTGTAATTATAAAAAAATATCTAAAAAATTATTATGCTAGTTAAAACTATTTAGTGCAGTTTTTTCTTTAAAATTCTATCAATTCGTTTTATCACAGAAATAAAAATTCTATGTTAATGATAAATACAGATTCCCCTAACTTCATGCTATTTGATATCTGATAATTTTAGTTCATTATAATTCGAAATATGTGAGTTCACTGCATATTTTTTATCATTCTTGAAATGCCATTTTTGAAAAATGAGGATGAATTAGTTAATTTTTATCTTTAAAATAGAGAGAAGAATTGAATAAACTTAATTTTTTTTTCATTCATTTACCTTCTAAAAGACAAAACTGTAATTGTCCAATTATCGATTTTTTTTGTATACTGTAAGCCTATCTTACTTAAACTATACTGGGAAATAAATTTTTTGTTGCATTTATACAAATACTTAATATTGCCTAATTCCGGTGTGAGGATTTTAAACCAAAAATTACTTCTGCTCCTAAACCTACAGTTATTTTTATTCCGTTTTTTGTCGAAATGTACAAGTTTCAGAACGTTATAAATAAGAGGAGGTCGAGCAAATGTTGCGATAAACTTCTGGGCAAGTTTAGGGACATCATCAAGATTAAAATTGCTTGGGAATCCATTCCTTTAAATGTTATCATACGCCGTAAGAGGCGCTTCCTTATTATGACGTATTCAAAAGCACACGAAGAAACAGTTTATAGTAGGGAAGCTCTCCTAGCTGCGTATGACGACCCCTAGAAGTATGTCGCAACATTTACGAGACTATCTGCTATGTTTAGCATTTTTAAACTTGTACATTTTGACACTTAAAGTCATTTAAAGAAACTGTAACCTTAAGAGAGAAACCGGTTTCAGATTTAAAATCAGCCTTACGTAAGTATTTTAGATCTGTTAAAAAATATCATGCAACAGGCAAAAAAATTTCCATTACTATTGATCCTATTTTGAAATAAAACATGTATTGGTTTTCGTTTCTAATATTATTTATGTAATATTATAAATAGAAGGTCTGTGAATTTAACGACTGTGTATCTGACTACAATATGCGGAAAAACCTTCCAACCTTTATGCTAAGCTAATACTATAACTTTCTTAGGTTTCATTTTATTTATCTTAATATTTAATAGAATGTATGTTATTTTGTATCTTAAGTTGAACGCAGGGACAATGTAAAAAAAAAGTTAACGAAATAAATTGCTGCAAAATACTGAATAAAATAAATTTGTTAAAATTCCAGAAAAACTTCATTATTATTAAAAAAATGTGAAAACAAGAAAAAAATCTGCAACTTATATATTAATTATCAGTAATTAATCAAAAATATTAGTTTTAATTAGTTATGCTGTTTTAATATACATGACTTTTTCTCAAAATTACCTTTTTAAAACTTAAGTCGATAAAATATTAGACAAATATCACGTATAAGCAGATTTAGACCTTTAAAGAATTTATTCTTAAGTCAGGAGGACAAATTACGTTATTTTAAGATTAATATAGTACCCATTATATAATACCTATAATATAATATAATCCATTCTGTAATTAATTAATTTCAAATATATAATCTCATTTGATTTAAGCTTCCAGGAAAATTAATAATGTTAAAGAAAGTTATTTTTTACACAGTTTAAAATTAAACATTTGCTAAAATCTATTTAGCTATTATTTCTGGGGGGGGGGGTATAAGCAACATTTAATATGTATACCTTTCCAGTCCATTTTACTCCCTTCCAAATGCAGAAGTAGCAAAGAACCCATGCTAATGCTAACGTTCCTGCTAACGGCCACCTTACTTCACCTGCTTCGCCTAATCCACTGGTAATCTGAAGTACATTTCGCCTAAAAAAAATATGGCATTCAGAAGTGCTTTATATTGAAAAGAGGAAAAGCGAACAATCGAAAAGCTGTATTCTTCGAAAACATCAATATTTCGTGATTTATCAAAATTTTAGCTTATTTACATTATGTTTCAGCAAATATTTTCTATGTTACATAAAATTCATTAATATTTACAAGTGACCATATTCGATAATCATCATTATCGATAATATTATTGATATTATGATAATCAAAATTTATTATGGTTGATAATGATTCTTGTATTCAAAAACTACGGATGATATTCCCTTATTATCAATTTGATATTTATTATTGTCTATAATGATCGAGATTGTTATAGTAATTATCGATAATTATCGTATATTCGATAATTGCAGTAATAATGCATTTAAAACATTGTATTTAGAAATACCGATATTTCACAACTTATCGATATATTGTTCATTTTTTTATTCAATAACTTCAATTTAATTGTTTTTTAAATTATTTATTCTGTTTTAATAATTATTTGATAATGGTTGTAATATTATTGTATTCGAAAACTATCTCTAATGATGATATTCCATGACTATCGATTTGATGTTTACTGTTGTCAATGATGATCGTGATAATTCCAATGTCGATAGTCATAGCATATTCAATAATTATCAAAGGTATTCGCGAAAATAAATTGTAAAACATAGTTATAGAGGTACTTTAAATTACCGATACTTAACGATCTATCAATATATGAGTAATGATCTACCAATATATATATTCAGTTCTTTTATTCAAAAACTTGAATTTAAATATTTTTCAAGTTCTTTTAACCTTTCGATAATTTATTAATCATTCGATAATCATTCTTTAATTTAAATTATTAATCATTCGATAATTATTCTNTATGTAAGTATTTCTATTAAAAAATATCATGCAACAGGAAAAAAAAATTTTCCACTACTATTGATCATATTTTGAAATAAAACATGTATAGGTTTTCGTTTCTAATATTATTTATGTAATATTATAAATAGAAGGTCTGTGAATTTAACGACTGTGTATCTGACTACAATATATGGAAAGACCTTCCAACGAAAGAATATATCAGATTTTTTATGCTAAGCTAATACTATAACTTTCTTAAGTTTCATTTTAGTTATCTTAATATTTAACAGAATGTATATTAACTTTGTATCGTAAGTTGTAAGCAGTTACAATGTTAAAAAAAAGGCAAATGAAATAAATTGCTACAAAATACTGAATAAAATAAATTTACTAAAAATTCCAGAAAAACTTCATTATTATTTTTAAAAAAAATGTGAAAACAAGAAAAAATCTGCAACTTATATATTAATTATCAGTAATTAATCAAAAATATTAGTTTTTATTAGTTATGTTGTTTTAATATACGTGACTTTTTCTCAAAATTACCTTTTTAAAACTTAAGTCGATAAAATATTAGACAAATATCACGTATAAGCAGATTTAGAATTTTAAAGAATTTATTCTTAAACCAGAAGGACAAATTACGTTATTTTAAAATTAATATAGTACCCATTAGATAATACCTATAATATAATATAATCCATTCTATAATTAATTAGTTTCAAATATATAATCATATTTGATTTAAGCTTCGAGGAAAATTAAAAATGTTAAAGAAAGTTATTTTTTACAGAGTTTTAAATTAAACATTATCTGAAATCTACTTTGGTATTATTTCTGGGAGGGATATAAACAACATTTAATATGTATACCTTTCCAGTCCATTTTACTCCCTTCCAAATGCAGAAGTAGCAAAGAACCCATGCTAATGCTAACGTTCCTGCTAATGGCCACCTTACTTCACCTGCTTCGCCTAATCCGCTGGTAATCTGAAGTACATTTCGCCTAAAAAAAATTAAGCATTCAGTAGTGCTTTATATTGAAAAGCGGAAAAGCGAACAATCGAAAAGCTGTATCCTTAGAAACTATCAACATTTCGTGATTTATCAAAATTTTAGATGTTAGCTTATTTACATTATGTTTCAGAAAATATTTTCTATGTTAAATAAAATTTATCAATATTTGCAATATGACCATATTCGATAATCATCATTATCGATAATATTATTGATATTATGACAAACAAAATTTATCATGGTTGATAATGATTCTTGTATTCAAAAACTATCGTTATTGATGATATTCCGTTATTATTGATTTGATATTTATTATTGTCAATAATGATCGAGATTGTTATAATAATTATCTATAATTATAGTACATTCGATAATTACAGAGATAATGCATTTAAAACCTTGTATTTAGAAATACCGATATTTCACAACTTACCGATATATTGCTCATTTTTTTTATTCAATAATTTGAATTCAATTGTTTTTTAAATTATTTAATCTGTTTTAATAATTATTTGATAATGGCTGCAATATTATTGTATTCGAAAACTACCTCTAATGATGATATTCCATGATTATCCATTTGATGTTTATTGTTGTCAATGATGATCGTGATAATTCCAATGTCAATAGTCATAGCATATTCAATAATTATCGAAGGTATTCACGAGAATAAATTACAAAACATAGTTACAGAAGTATTTAAAAATACCGATACTTAACGATCTATCAATATTTCAGTAATGATCTATCAATATATATATTTAGTTCTTTTATTCAGAAATTTGAATTCAAATATTTTTCAAGTTTTTTTAACCATTCGATAATTTATTAATCATTCGATAATCATTCTTTAATTCGATTTATTAATCATTCGATAATGATCACGATAATATTGTATTTGGAAGCATTAGATATTCCGAAAGTATCGCATTTAATCTGTATTTTTGTCTATAACGATCTCGATATTATAATTCTTGATAGTTATGGTGTATTCGATAATTATTGCATACTGGTATTTACCATATATCGTGAGAAAACATTATTAAAAATCGTGAGAATACGATTACAAACTTTATTCATAATCAATAGCTGGTAGAGCCTCCACGAGAGACAATTACAACGTGAACCCTCCGAAGCATACTTTCCAGTCCTAAGCTAAGTCCTTGTGTGACGGCTAGTGGTAGTTTCTTCCACTTGGCTTGTAGAAGACATGTAAGTTCCCTCACCGATTTCGGACGGGTAGTACACCCCTTAATTCGGCGATCCATCTCGTCCCAGAGGTTCTCGATAGTGTTCAGATCTGGGATCTGGGCAGGCCAGTGCATTCGATTTACCTCAATGGCACCATACCAGGCCATGGTGACCCTCGCAACATGAAAGCTGGCACTGTCGTCCTGGAAGTAGCAGGGGTCCACCCCGCAAAACTGCCACAACGTAGGAAGCACATTGTCATCATAGGTAGTGCATTAGGCATCGGCGTTGAGCTTACCATGAATGGGGACCAAGGGTCCCAATCTATATCAGGAGAAACGCCCCCAGCCCATAATTCCACCTTCGCCGAACTTGACTGTTGGCACAATGCATTCTGGCAGGAGACGTTCTCCAGACAAACGCCAGACCCAGACCCTGCCATCCAGGCAGAGGGTGAACCTTGATTCGTTGCTCCAAAGAACTGCTTTATACTGATCTACGGTCTAATTTCGATGTGCTTTGCACCACATTAACCGAGCAGTGCGGTTGGACTTTGTGATCAAAGGCTTATGAGTCGCAACACGACCATGAAAACCACGCAGATGTGCTTCCTTACGGATGGTTTCATTGTAACAACACTCCCGGATGCCTGTTGAAACTCCTGGAGTGTGTGGGTCATCGGCTGGGTGCGGTTCTTCCGAATTTCTCTGAACAACACCCGTCGGTCTCTATCTCTCAGTTACGTTGGTCTTCCGACTCGGGGCACATTCCGACACTCACCGCTCACCCCCAACTTCTTAATCACATCATTTTGGGTAATCACATCATTTTTCATCACTGTCGATTTTGGGTAATTCAGCTCGCTAGATATGTCCCTTAAGGATTGACCATTTTTGTGATACCCGACAATTATACCTTTAACGGAATCAGAAAGCTCCGAGCTGTGTGGCATCTTGCATGGGACTAATGCTGATGTTGTTCCCTACACGATATATAACGGAGGAGGGCATGACGTATCTCAGGAACCCAGATATACTCGTTTGCATAGGTGTCCAAATACTTATTGGTAGACAGTATATATATATATATATAAAGAGAGAGAGAGAGAGAGGGAGAGAGAATATATATATGTGTGTGTATCGAGGGCCTTAATTTATTTTAAAAAACATAGGTTTTTCTAATGTTATTTTGAATTTGTGAGTAATTGTTTAAAAAAATCATAAAACTTATGAAATTAATCTTTAACTGTTCATAATTTAACGAAAAGACAAGAGTAATTGATTTTGGGAACTATTCATACAGCTGATGTGTAACAACTGAATACTTATTCCATGAATATTTATTCCATCCACACATTATATCCATACTGATAATCTATTACAAAATACGGCAAAGTATTTTCATACTGACTTTTCAAGCTGAATCGTAGGATAAAATATTTAGTACAAAACAATATAACAACAGTTTTAAAATATTTAAAACTACATGTTTCCCATGCACTGTAAACTATTTCAGATGCCAGTACTTTTTACCGTAAAATCCATTTTTAAAGGAACATGTTACAGAATAAAAACTCTGATAAACCCAAAATTTACAGAAATAATTGTAATAAAATAATTGAATTGCTCTAATTAAAAAAATATAACTGTAAAAATTATGATATAACATTTTACGGTAAAAATGGATATTACGATAAAATGACTTTTACGAATGAGGTAACCAAAGCTCCGGTATTTTATACTGTAGTTTGATCCTATATTATTTACAATGCGTACGTAAAGATAAGAAAATACTGTATGTCTTATCAAGAAATATTTTATTTTAGAACTAAAAAGTAACACTTTCTTTGATTTAGAAGCACTTGTTCAAGTTGATTCAATTTGCCATATAAGACTTAAATAAAACGAAGGCAATGAATTTTTCCTATAAAAGTTTTAAAAAATTATAA